ATATTATAATTTGATTAATATTATTACTTATGCAATATATAATTTATTCATTTTATTTCAGTAATCATTTTAGTACATCAGGTTAAACTAAATGAAAACGAGAAAGGATTTTTGGCAACTAGCTGAAATGAAAAACAAATTTCTTATATTTTATTTCATGTCAAGTAGGGTTTATTTTATTTCAAGTAACTAAAATTGTTTTATGGTTTTAGTTTTAGTCCATAATAATCATGATACTACCATAGTACATTTATTTATGGTTAGTGTGAAGTAAATGTAAGGACAGCTATGTTTTGAATAAAAATAACAATATCATATTTAATATTTCTTAACTGATTGATGTAGACTGGCAGAACCACGCTTCAGATCGGAGACAGTCTGAGTACCCAGAAGGCCACACTGATCGTGGTGCACACGGATGGGAGCATCGTAGACGCCACAGCGCTGAAGGGCACCGCGACACCGATGACACCTGGTAAATTTGATTTATTTTGTCTTAAATGAACTGCAGTATTTCTATACGTGTCTGTTCTTCCCTCTCAGGCACTCAAACCCCGAGCACCCCTCTGACGTCTGGACGCGATAAGGACGTCTCTAAGTACAACTGGGATCCGTCGGTTTATGAGAACGAGCTTCCGGTTCGCTGCAGGAACACCAGCGGGATTCTGTACAAAAACAGACTGGGCTCAGGTACACAGCCGTCACAAGAGGGCGGCACTCGACCGACTGATGAAACTAATTCAGCTGTGTTTGAAAACCTCTTAGGAAGTATGCAGGAGATCAAACACATGATCATCTGTGGGTTAAGAAGCTATCAGGACAGTACTTACACAGTACTTACAGTAACAAAGGCTGCATCCTAATTTGTATGCTTATATTACACAGTAGTATGTTCATTGCACGATTTGGGGGAAAATGTAATTGCGATTATTTCTGGGGGAAAAAAAGTTATTTAAAACACACACACAAAATTTTTTTTGTTTGCTGTGCTTGTTTGTAGGGCTGCGCAATTTGGTCAAGATTTAATATATACTATTATTATTATTATTATTACGGTTATTGTTTCTAAATAAATATATAAAAATGACCAAATAAAAAATAAGATGTATTGCTATTGTAATATTTCACTTTAAAATAAAAAAATAAAAATTTTATTTAATAAAATAAATATAATTTAAATTTAAAGTACAACTAAAATTACAATACTACTATATGGCTGTCTTAATTTTTGAACATTTAAATGTATTATTAATTTATAAATTATTGTTATTTATTTAGCAGTGAAATATCACAATAGTAAAAAAAAAACTGCAGGGAAAGTTCTCACAGCAGGTTTTAAATTAATCAAACACCTCAAATAATTAATTTTAAGGTCATTAATTCAATAGATGATAATGATTCCATTAAAGTACAAAATAATACACAAAAATAAGGTAACACTTTATAATAAGATTCCATTTGTTAACATTAGTTAACTACATTAGTTACACTAGCTACATTAGTAAACCATTTATTAATCTCAGGTATTGTTAATTTCAACCTTGACTAATACATTATTGTATTATAATGTATTTAAAAAGTTGTATCTGTCGAAATTATTTAATTGACCTGAGCTGATCTAACAATTAACAGTTGTGTTTTATTAACTGACATAACTCTTTTGAAATCCACGGAAAAATAGTATACTATTTGGGCTGCTTTGGCATACTGTTTTCTATGTAGCATGATTTAAGACACACTCGTGACTATTTAGGATGCATAATATAGGAATTGGGGCACAGCCAGTGACTGATATTTAACCTTTGACCTCAGGGGGCAAAGGGCGCTGTATAAAACACAACAATAACTGGTACACCCCGACTGAGTTTGAGGGTATGTCAGGGAGAGCGAGCAGCAAAGACTGGAAGAGAAGCATCCGCTATGCTGGCCGACCTCTGCAGTGTCTCATTCAGGTCAGACCGGCCTTCGGAGGCCACACACACACACACACACAATCGCAACAGAATATGTACAGACATACACAGCTCACAGTAGGAACCCTTCCCAAAAAAAATTAGCAGAACAACCCAGACCTGTTGCCGTGTTTGAGTGTGTGAGTGTGAGTGTGAGTGTGTGTGTGAGTGTGAGTGTGTGTGTGAGTGTGAGTGTGTGTGTGAGTGTGAGTGTGTGTGTGAGTGTGAGTGTGTGTGTGAGTGTGAGTGTGTGTGTGAGTGTGAGTGTGTGTGTGAGTGTGAGTGTGTGTGTGAGTGTGAGTGTGTGTGTGAGTGTGAGTGTGTGTGTGAGTGTGAGTGTGTGTGTGAGTGTGAGTGTGTGTGTGAGTGTGAGTGTGTGTGTGAGTGTGAGTGTGTGTGTGAGTGTGAGTGTGTGTGTGAGTGTGAGTGTGTGTGTGAGTGTGAGTGTGTGTGTGAGTGTGAGTGTGTGTGTGAGTGTGAGTGTGTGTGTGAGTGTGAGTGTGTGTGTGAGTGTGAGTGTGTGTGTGTGTGAGTGTGTGTGTTTGTGTGTGAATCCCCAGAGACTCATTTAGCAGAACAGCCCAGACCTGTTGCCGTGTTTGACGTGTGTGTGTGTGTGTGTTTTGACAGGAGCGTATCCTGAACCCTCACGCAGCGTCCTGTACGTGTGCGGCCTGCTGTGATGATCTGTCAACAGTGAGTGACACGGTGACTCAATCTCATTATTATAATCATAATTATACAATACAGTATATATATTACACAAACTCAGAGTAAAGATGAAAAATTATTTTTAAGAAAATGACAACTGAAATAAAATAATAAATACAAATAAAACAAGAATGTAAATTAACAAATACTATACTAATATACTAAATAAAGTAATAAATAAATAGAAAAAGGATGGTCGTGTCTAAATAGTAAGGGCCAGATTTACGAAACAGGGCAAATTAGCATTAGAGCGCAATTCCAAAACAGCGCAGATGGGCGTGGAAATTTCTGCTGGTGATTTACTGACAATGTGCAAATTAAATACTGACGCAACATCTCATTTACATATTGACCAACGCAATATACCAAGCGCAGTGCAAATTAGCATACTCGCAAAAAAGCAGAGCCGATGCTCATCAGGTGCGGGTGATCTACTTATGACACAGGTGCAAAATAGTTTAAGACATGCTTTTTTTGGGCGTTAAATAATGGCGAAAATACCAGCAATTTGACGTTAGTAAATCGCATTGCGTGATTCATTTTAATACTCTCCTCCCATAAATTTTGCGTCTGAAAGGGATACTCCTACAAATGCATATTCAATAAGGTGAGTTGCAAAAATAACTCTATCTGCGCCTTTTCAGCGCTAATTCGTCACTGTGCGTCTTTAGTAAATCCTGACAGTACTATTTTAATGCCAAATTACCGTTAGTCATCTGTAATAACCCTGGAGAGCAGTCTCTATAAAATTCATATATATTATATGTATAGTATTCATATATATATATATACATTTTTTCACCACAAAACACATGCACATATTTACACACAAACACAAAGGTGAAATGTGTCATTTGTGCTTATGGTGTAGCATAGTTTGATTAAATAGTGATTCTTGACTTATAAAAAATAACATTTAAATAGTGATTCTTGACTTGACATATATATCTTACATATGTATAAAATAAGGATTATGGTTATAAAATCTATCACAAATGACAATGGAAATCATGGAAAGTTACTGGTAAAATGTGGGAACTCTGGGCTTGTGGCATTTCACGATTCAGTTTTGCCTTCTTCTACTCATTATTTCACCATCCCTATTAATAAAAGTGACAAAAAGGCCAAAAATAAAAAGCTACAATTTATATTCCTGCTCATAACCTCTTCGTTCTGTGAGTTCCCTAGTATGAATACCCAGGTATGTTTTGTCAGATATAAGCCATGTTTGTGTTAGCAGATGTTTTTATCTCAGAAATAAGGGGATAAAGTGAATTTACTAACAGCAGGACATGTCAGATGTGTTGAATTATGGGAGATGTTTGAGCTAAAACACACAGACCACTGTTTGACTATACAATTAGAGGCTCAGATTCTGTATTTTGAGGCACGTTCACGTATGTTTCATCCTGTAGACAAAGAAACACAAATGAGATCAGTTGTCTCTCCTAGACGGCATTGAGATTCAATGGAGAGCAAGTGTAGTCAGCATGAAATTTTGTTCGTCTGGGTCGAGTCCTGACTGAGACTGTCCTTTCCTGTCTGTTCCGAACCCGCCTGGTCTTTTTTAGAACAAAAAGCTTTTAAAATGAAATGTGGGTCAAGATTAAAGTGAGATCAGGTGAGGACGGACTGTAAATGTGCTAGTCAAGGTTCACCTCTACAAAATCCCATTTTGTAGAGGTGAAACAATGAACATTTAATATTTAACATTTAATCGCGCAGAGGTCTTTCATCACTCAGGAGACGTAGGTTAGTCTTCATCTCGAATGTGTTTCTCCTCAGTGTTGACCACACTTCCTGCGCTGGCGGTGGTCCCTCAGCAGGCCGTGGTGCAGTCTAAACCCTCTCCGTCAGGGCCGATCATGAACGGGCTGGAGACGGCCGAGCAGCGCACGTGGCTTTACCTGGAGGAGATGGCCAATACGCTGCTCAACAACGTCCAGCAACTCAAAGTCCTTATCGCACAGGCCAAACAAGCCAGTCAGAGCGGAGCGCATGGCGCCATCAGCCCAGAGAAAAGCAGTAGCGTCAGAAAAGAGGTGACAGAAATACTTTATTCAAACAATTACAACCACAAAACTGGTCTCGGGTCAGTGTTGGGGAAAGTTACTTTTAAAAGTAATGCATTACAATATTGCGTTACTCCCTAAAAAAAGTAACTAATTGCGTTAGTTACTTTTTATGGAAAGTAATGCATTACGTTACTTTTGTGTTACCTTTTCTCATCTGGGCTGGGCTTGTTTTGTTTGCTTTTAAAAATAAAAAAATCAATTTTTGGCAAATGTAAAAGCTCTTTCACATCAAAAGTCAAATGAATAAGCCTCAGCCATTTTGAATTGCATGAAGCATAGGACGCAGGAGAAGAAAAAAAGAAACACAAATGTCATGTTTATCTAAAGTCATTTTTCGCTTATTAATATGGTTGAATTGGATCATCGAAAGTCAGCAGCAAAGATATTGGTTAATAAAATGTGATTAAATACATAAAGGATATTTATGTTATTTAACATATTTAGTCAGTCAATAAATGAGAAAACAAAATAACTTGCATTACTTATTCGAAAAAGAAAACTCTGATATTTTCTTGTAAATGAAAAAGTAATCTGATTACGTAACTCGCGTTACTTGTAATGCGTTACACCCAACACTGCCTGTGGTGAAAATTAAGTTTTTAATGTTGTTTATCTGGTGTTTTTAATATGCTTAAAGACAAACCAATTAAAGATTAATTACATTTTGCCACTATCCATTATGTAGCATTTACTACTTCAGTTAACCGAGTGAAAGTGGTGGAATTAGTTGAGATGTTGTGATTGAGTGGAGGGGACTAATTTGCATATTCATAGAGTCGCATATACTAAATGAGGTGTAGAGTTATATTTAGGCCATTTTAAAGCATGAATAAATAATTTTCACAAAAAAACATTTAAATATGTCATTTTGATTATCAAAGTTGAGTTTAAAGGCATAAAATAGTGCACGGGGACTTTATTTGCATGGGCAATTTTGTGAAATAAAAGAGTTTAATAATCTCAAAACTTCCCTACATTAAAAAGAGCATTTATTAAAACTAACCTGCAAAAACTGGCTATTTATGATTGTGATGGCATAACTATAAATACATATGGAAATTGGTTGGCTGTTTATATATACACATGCAGTTGTAAAATGGCCACAAAAGTGTGAAAAATGATCATAAGAACTAAATTAGTGTTATGACTGTTTCTGGTCTAAGAAACCTTTACAGACATTAAGTTTTCATTTAAATGTTTTAGTTTTGAAATGTTGTATGCATTTGTCATTTTTATTTAATTTCTTTTATTTTCTTAAATGTGTGTATATATATAGTATTTATAGAGTTTTAGCTTTTAGTTTTAATTACTTTTTCTTATTTGTAAGTCGCTTTGGATAAAAGCGTCTGCTAAATGACTAAAAGTAAAGTAAAAGTAAGTTAATGAGCTAATGTTATGTTTAACAGAAAAAAAAGTCATTTAAGTCAAAGGATATTAAATAAAAATTCACAAAATAAACAGTCTAAATATATTTTCCTGTTCTTATTATGAATGATTCATCAGTACATGATAGTTATAAGAAAAAAAAGTTTGTTTTGTATTTGTTCAACAAAATATTCCAAATCTGAAACAACTTCCCTTCCTGCTGATGTCATGAAGGCCGCTTAAGTTTCAACCAATTTGTGATGTTTCAGTATATGGAGTCGTCCACAATAACTGAATGCAAAAACTAAATGATGATTGTTTTGGGTCTAAGAAACCTTTACAGACATTATAAGTGGACCAGAGGGGAGAAGTTTGTTTTATGACCCCTATAAGAAGCATCACATATTCATGTTTTTCTCTCTCAGTCCTTTCAGAGTCAGTTGTCACTCAGTGAAGAACCTGAGGGGAAAATCACTGAAATTATCATCAAGGTAAATCTCTCTCTCACTCTCTCTGTTCTCATATCAGTGTTATTTTGTTATCATTAATATACTATTATACTTTTTATTAATATTTTGAATTTGACTTTATTTATAAATTATATATTTTTTCATTTATTTCTGTTTATAATTATTTTGTTGTGTGTTTTGGTCATTTTTTATTACTTTTTTAAATGTCTATATTAAGTTTTAGTTATTTTAGTACTTATTATTAAAGTATTACAATTTATTATTACTTATTAAAGCAGGGTTTCCGCGGGGTCTTAAAAAGTCTTAAATTTAGTTATATCAAATTTAAGGCCTTAAAAAGTCTTAAATTGTACAGTAAAGGCATGAGCGCTGCACGTTCAAAATCCGGTGCAGTGATGCTTTGTGTTCTGCCGTTACCGGGGAAACAGTTATATTTCTACCAAACGCTCCACCTGCTGGCAGAGAATGAATGAGCATTTTCAATAAAACTGTTGTTTTGTTCAGAGTTCAGACCAATGCGAAAATCGACCCATGTTTTTACCCTGCAAACACGCAGAGCTTTAAATGTGAAGTGAGTTCTTTCACTGCATGAATCAATATTCATTTCTATCACTGCTGTGAACTGACCACACAGAATATGAATAATATCAAAAAATTCAGGAGTCAGTTAGAGATAAGATATCAGCACAATAACGCACTCAGCAAAATATCGTCTAATTATCGTTATCAATAATCCCAGAAATTTATCGAGATATCATTTTTTTGTCAATATTGCACACCCCTAATTTGTTATTTAATTTATGTAATAATTGATTGATAATTGTTTAAATTAATATAATTAATACTTTTGACTCTTTTGACTATTTTAAAGGCTGAAATGTAAAGTTTATCATTTTATAAAACTCTGTTTTTGTGAAAACTTTTATCTGAACCGTAAATTATGCTTTTTACAGTAATTTTACAGTTTAATATGGTACTATAGACATTGCCCTACCCCGCTCATATGGTATTAATTTTATTTGTGCAGGTCTTAAAAAAGGTCTTAAAAGTCTTAAATTTGAGATTAAAAATCCTGCAGAAACCCTGTAAAGTATTAACTTTAGCTAAATAAATAAGGAGAAATGTTGCCTTGATAACTAGCTTGTGTTTATTTATATTTTATTTCAGTTAATGTTTATTTAAAGTAACAGTTTTTTTTTATGGTTTTAGTTTTATAATAACCCTGGCTAAGGTTTGCTCTACATTTTCTTGTGTTGTTCAATTTCTGTTTGTCAGTTTTTCAGATGGTTTATTGCATTTACTGAGTAATATAATTCAAAATAATATTAGTGTAACCAAGTAATATTAGTTTAACCGTGGGTTGTTTATTCTTGCCAAACAGCCTTAGCAACAGATATGCAAGTAGATTGAATATTTCTCCACAGTACTGAACGTGGCTCATCAGACTTAATGGAGCAGAGCTCTGAGTTTTATAATGTGGCTCGTGTGGGGATCTGCTGATGTAGTTGGCGTTCTCAGATGTGTGTGTGGTGATCGGGCCGGACTCCAGCGGTGTAGAAACACTGACCGTCACACACCATCACCCGCTGTGTTTGGCAGGTGCTTCGCTTCAGATGTGACAGAGAGACAGTGAAGCAGGACTATCAGAATCTGCAGCTGAAAACACACAGATGCTCCACGGGAAAACGCCAATAGATCCCAGAGTCTTTGCTTGTTTAAAATGCTAGTCTGTGTTGAGGCCAAAATGAACATTCTGGCATTATTTACTCACCCATGTATTGTTCTATACATGTATCTTGTTATTTCTCTATTGAACACTAAAGAGAAGATTTTGCAGAATGTATATATGAAGAGTTTATTTGCAAAAACAGATAACTTTGTGCTTTATTGTGTTAGCTGTATTTTTTTTTGTTATTTTTACGTAAACAAAATAACCAACTGCAGTTTGATTGGGATTAATTGGAATGCACAATGAAAAAACATGATTTTTGAAAATTGTTAAAAACAGAGTCATCTGTATTTGAAAATGAACTCTTCATATATATATATATATATATATATAATTTGATTTTATTCACTCAAAAATAGTAATATTGTAAAATATTGTTAAAATAACTTTTCTATTGTAATAATATATTTTGGAATGTAATTTATTTCCATAATGGCAAAAATGACTTTTCAGCCACCGTTATTTCAGCGTATATATTTATATACATTAAAGATTAAAGCATCAAAAGACTTAATAATAGCACAAGTTGTATGAACCAATTTTAAATTTTTTATTTTTTTTTAATCGGAACAATTAGAAATGAATGAATGCTTTTTAAATTCCAATTGAAACAAAGTTTATTTATTTATTTATTTTTTTTAAGTTGAAACCATAAAGTTTGAAAGTTTATAGGACAGAGAAAAAGATAGATCGATACATACATACATACATACATAGATAAAACTATTCTCTTAATAGTATTAATAGTGACACTAGTATGTTTCTTCTGTGTTCCAGCACACGTGTGTGAACTGCGGTCGAGAGGCGTCCAGTGAGTGTGCGGGCTGCCATAAAGTCCATTACTGCTCTGGCTTCTGTCAGCGAAAAGTAAGTCCAGTCCTAGCAATCACCATCATATCACAGCGGTTAGAGCCTCTTTATTTTTGGATCCATCTTTCTGCAGGACTGGAAGGAGCATCAGCTGAGCTGCTGTCCACCGGGCACGACTGTCAGCATTCAGGAAGACGCTTAGATGGCCGGTGTGGAGGTGGAGAAAGGGAAGGCCTAGCACTCTCACCGCAGGACCGTGACGTATGAAATCTAGATGGGTGATCACTTCCGTTCATGTGTTTTAGTTTAGCTATAAAGCCTCGTGGTAGCAGCCCCCTTACACACTGTGACATGGATGACGTCTGTACTTTCTGTACCATTTCACCATCTCACTATGGATTTTGTATGTGAAGATAATCCTTAAAGCGGTAGCTCACCAAAAATCATTTACTCACCCTTATGTTTTTCCAAGACTGTACTTTTTGAACACAATGCGTTGTGTTCAAGCTCACAATTTCCTTAAAGTGAAGACATAAAATTAACAGTTTTAAGCTCCTAAAAGGAAAAATAAAAATGCTAAAGTAATCCATGTGACCTGAAATTTAAGATAATCACTCCGTTGTAGCTCTCAAATCTATGAAAGCTTGTTTCCTCCACAAGAAAAATAAAATAAAATGGGTAATTGCGGGGGGTTTTTTTGTCTCACAATTCTGAGGAGAAATTCAGAATGTGACAAACTTGCAATCGAGAGAAAAAAAATCAAAATAGTGAGATAAAAAGTTGCAATTACCTGTTTTTAACCATGATTATATTCACAAAAAAACTACTTGCGAGATGTGAAGTCAGAATTGTGAGAGAAAAGTACAGAATTGTGAGAATTGTGTAATTCTGACTTATTTTCTCATAATTCTAACTTTTTTCTTCAAATTACGATTTTTTATCTCACAGTTTTTTTTAAGAATTGTGAGATATAAACTCAGAATTGCAAGAAAAAAGTCAGAAATGTGAGATTAAAAGTCGGCAAAAAATTTTTTTTTATTTCATGACGGAAACAAAAAACTGAACTTTGAGATGTGAAGTCAGAATTGTGAGAAAAAAGTCAGAATTCAGAGTTTATATCTCACAATTCAGATTTTTTTTCTCAGAATTGCAAGTTTCTAAAAAAATGTCGGAATCTGAGATAAAAAGTCACAATTACCTTTTTTTTTTTTTCTCATTCATGCATACTAATTTTTCTTTTTCTTTTCACATTAAAATGTGTTGTTTTGTGCAAATATTATAAATTGAAATCAGAGTGTGGAAAACTAGTATGATACTTTTATTGTGTTTTTTTTGTTTTTGTTTTTTTGAGCTAGTCAAAGAGCAGCTCAAAACTTATTATTTTGTGTCTTACAGGCAAAAGTCAGTCAAACAGGTCTGGAACACCATGAAGTTGAGTAAATGATGACAGAAGTGTTTTTTTTAGGTGAATTACTCCTTTAATTGGACAATAATATATTTTCAGAAACTAATTCTAATGAAGGATTACATTTTTACAGTGTTTTCAAAACAAAACAAAAATAAATGGGAAGCTTTGAGTTTTTTCATGCCTCTTTATTCAATGGATTTTGGATTTGAGGCCACACACACAAAAGTGTGTTATCATGATATCCTTTTTTTAATGGATTTGACACATTGTAGAGATTAGCTGAGCTTTTCTCAGTGAACCACCACACAGCTGACCCATGCGAAATAATCCCGACCTAAAGTTACGCAAATGCTAATGTGCTAACTCGCAATAGTCAAAGGACAGAAACCTCACCAGATTTCACATTCAAATTCCCTGTTGTTCACCTAAGTCACATTGTACACTTTCTGCATAATCCACTTATTAGTCAAGGGTTTTTGCACTCGATCATAAATTGAACTTTTCATGACCGCTTTCCACTCTATTTCTGAACAAGCCATTTTGCTAATGTAGCTGAATGACCTCTATATGTAAATGAGCTTTGCATGTGAAACGAGTATTTATAGGCCAACATCAGCCTCTAAAACAAAACTGCTTTACATTGTGACATTCATCGACCAGTCAGCAAACAATACGATTAGACATCTTGTTCAAAATAAACTGTAGTCACTCTAATCAGCGACAATATGTATCCTTCTTCCTTTTTATTAGCTCACTGTGATTGGGTTACTAAGAAATGCACTGTAGGTGGTCATGTGTTAATGTTGTAATCTAGTCCAGCTGCTAGACTATTTTTGTAGCTCATTTTCAATAAATGCCCCTTTTTTGAGTTTTCCTACTGCAATGAACTCTCACTTCCTTCGACTGACGTCTTATAATGCGACCCATTTATGATGTCTGATTCTGATCTGTGGTGCTGAAAGTGTTCAGACGCTTTATTACTTGTGCCATTTTTGAGTGAGTTTCTTTAGAGGTTCCTAGCTCAATTTTGGAGGATATCTGAAATACAATCAGATTTCCCACGAGCAACCTTGGCTGATAGTTTGCCGCAGGACGTTGTTTTTATGACCTCCCTTTCGTACCTCAGTGTCTAAATGTGAATCGATACACTGGGATAGAAAATTGTTGGGGGAATTATGGGAAGGGCACTCGACGGCTTTAGCCAAAGAGCCAGTCAGTGATGCCAGAATCATCTAAAGAGACACGTCTGGACCGAACGGCAGTGGTTTTCCATTACGCAGGTCAGTGAAGCAACAGATACTACACGGAACAAATGTGACCCTGGACCACAAAACCAGTCATAAGGGTCAATTTTTCGAAATTGAGATTTATACATCATCTGAAAATCAAATATTTTGGCCCATACAATGTATTTTTGGCTATTGCTACAAATATACCCCAGCGACTTAAGACTGGTTTTGTGCTCCAGGGTCACATATATGACAGTGGCTTTTACTGTTGTTTGAAAGCTGATACTGTATATAGCACCATTCTGAGAGTATATGTGTGTGTACCTTATTGCTTGAAAGAAGATGCAAATACAATACTGCAATTATAAACATTCCTATTCACATGGAATTTGATTTTTCGTGTCAACTGAAACAGCAGGTAATTTTTTGTGAGGTTTTGGGACATTTGGACAACATTTTAGCTGACATCTTTAGGGAATTGTCTGAAAAGGGTTTAAAGTTCTGGCAAGGTTCTCTAAAGTTCTGAATATTCTTTCAGTAATGTTAACACAACATTCATTCAAAGTGATCAGGTCTTTAATAACGCTGTCAAAACGTTAGCACAAAAACATCTGAAATGTTTTAGTTGAATGTTCATTGGATAACTTTTTAAAGAACATTCGGAAATAATGTTTTCAGAACTTAACGAGAGCATTGGCAAAATCTTTTTAGGACATAGCTGTGAGGTCTCTGACCTTCTGACTTGCAATTTTCTGTAAGATTGAGGCCTGATTTAAAAAACAAAAATGGCTGCCATTGCCCTAAAAGTTTACTATTGTATTGTAACCAGTTAATCACTGTAATAACAGTAATAATTCAGCTTCTGTGGTCATGGACAAACGCTGTCAGTAGAGTTCTCCACGGTTGTCTTGTCAAATCTTCCTCTTTTCACTCACTGTCTCTAAGTCTTTCTTTCCATCTGTCTCTCATCATTTCTTGATATGTGTTCTCATATCAATGTCAGATCTGTTATATTGCTCTCTTAAAAACCTGGAGTCCAAAAATACCCTCGTGAGAAATTATGTCTGTCTAGGACGAACTGAACAATAAGGACCTTGCAGGAGTTACTTCGATCGTCTCTGAAAGTCTTTTAAATCGCGTATTCTGGACTGGAGCAGAAGCGAAAATCTGTCATCATTTACTTAATTTTTGCAGTTTTTTTAAAGGGGTCATATGATGCGATTTCAATTTTTTTCTTTTTAGCAACATCATATGACCCCTTTAATTTCCGAATAAACTTGACATTTAATTTTAGTCTAAAATAAGATAATATAAAAGCATATTCACAATCCCAACATATGATTAGCACGTAACTTTCACTTTTCAAGTTAATGTGAGTATTCTCTGTATTTTTGTTGACTTGTTGTAATATTACATTTATATTGTGTAGAAATATGAATAATCTCATATGTGTAGGACGCATTCGTGGCTGATGAAAGTCAGATTTGGAACGACATGAAGGTGAGTAAATTATTTTTGCACGAACTAGATGCTCCTTCACTTTTATCTCATTGTAGGTAAACTAGAAAACCCACCCTTTTGTGTGTGTATCTATATTTTCCACCTAATCTATTTTCTATTCATACACCTCAGCGGCAGAGCTCGGAAAAACGGGGGTTATTCTTGAAAGATGAGTTGCCGTCAAAGTGGTTCCTGCCGGGACCTGTTGAGATCTGACATTTACACTAAAAGCTTTTTCTTTTTTTCTGACATTTCCATGTTAGTAATGGTAATGAGGGCTGTATTAGGGGTTCTGCTGAGAAGATGCTGCTGCTATTTTCCTTGAAAGGTGATTCTGGTGTGTGAAGTTTATTTTTGGAAAGCTGTGGTGACCCTGGAGTGGAACTTATGAGAGGAAGGCCATTCATTCATCAAGAAAACAGGTAATTTAACCTTTTCATAGAACAAACCTTCAGTAATTTTGAAAGCGTTTAGGCTTAAGATTTGCATCAAATGAAGAATTTCATAGTGGATTGTGGGCGTGGCTCTTTTGAGCTAAGCCAGTAAGCAATCACCTAAAACACCCTAGAAACACAAACAACCACTCAGAACACCTTAGTAACTGCATAGCAACGGTCTGGCAACCACCCAGAACACCCTAGAAACTGCATAGCAACACACACAAAAACTTAGAACACATAATTAACTGGATAGCAACACAAAAACTCTTAGAACACCTAATTAACTGCATAGTAACGCCCAGGCAACCACCTAGAACACCTCAGAAACTGCACAGCAACACAAGCAACCACTTAGAACACTGCAGTAACTGCATAGCAACACAAACAACAACTCGGAACACATAAGTAACTGCATAGTAATGGTTTAGCAACAATCCAGGGGCCGGTTGCATAAACGGTTTAGACTAGTCTTAAAAAGTTAGTCAACTAATTGTTTTTCTTCAAGACTGGTCATAGCTTTTTAAATTCAGTTATGAAAAGGTAGATTGGTCTTATTTGTATTGGAAAAGTAAGACTGATTACCCGTTGGCAACTGCTAGTTGGTCAAACTATTTTTTAAGACGCAGTCTTAAGACGGTGGCTAAGTTTATGCAACTGGCCCCTGAACTCCCCAGAAACTGCATAGCAACACAAACAACCACTTAGAATGCTTAAGTAACTACATAGCAACACCCTGGACAGGGCCGGATTTACCTCTTTTTGTGACATAGGCAAAACAAATTTTTGGGCCCCCCTTCCCTATTAATATGTTAGTCCTAATATTACCACCCAAGCAAACAAAAATATTTCTTAATCAGTGGAAACCGTTAAAGTGTTTTCTATCGCAATAAGCGCTTGCGTTCAGTCAATAAAAATCGAATGTAGTTCTTAATTTGTTTGAGAACTGAGAAAGACCATTCCATTAATAGGCACGGCGACGTGGCCAAATAATAACCAAATTCCCAAATTCCATTTTAGAGCTAATAACGGAGGTTTGAGCCATTGATATGCAGGCTAATGCAGTTATTAATGCAGTCTAATGCGGTTATTAGAGAGAGAGAGAG